ATGCCTGACAAAAACAGTACCAAGGTCCTGGGGGGAATGGAAGTATAGTATTGTTCGTTTCCTATACTATATGCAGCCTGGTAAATACTACAATCACATTACATGCAAAAGCTGTAAACCCTCCAATTAAAGACATAGATTATTAGAGTGAATAAAACTGTTTAAAAAGATCAACTATGCTGCCTACAAGAAACCCGCTTTGAATATAAAGACACAGCTAAGTCAAAAGTAAAAAAATAAAGATACACCGTGTTAATGCTTTGAAAGAAAGATACATCGTGTTAACGCTTTGAAGGAAAGCGTGGGTGACTGTGTTACTAGAAGGTGAAGGATCCCGGCAGCAGACACTCTCACGCTGGTCCTCCCCGTTGTGCCCTTCGCAACATGTCTTTCCCTTCGTTAATCTCTTTTTCCTTGTTCAAAAAAAAAAAATGGAAAGAAAGATCCCGTGTGCTACTGACAAGAAGACACCTAGAGCATTTGGAAACAGGTTCCGTGTTTATATGTGGATGTGTATTCACATGTTCCCATCAGGAGTCGAAGCACCTTGCTTTCTGTGTCCTTCTGAACTCTGCTTCCTCTCTGGCTTCTCCTCTCAGAGTGATACTTGGAGAAAAGGTTTGCTCATTTGTTCATTCAACTGCTGTGATGAAATGCTACCGTGTGCCAGAGCCTGGGATGTGCACGGGGGAACACAGCTGTTAACCGGACAAACAAGATCCCCGCCCTGGAGCACCAAGTCTCACGTGAGACACAGACAAGGGAACAGGCACCCGTAGGCCTGGGTAGGAGTGCTGTCAGGGAGTACGTGCCCTAGGGAGTCTGCAGGGTGGGTGAGCAGCCCAGCCCGGACTGTTCCTCATGCCAGCAGCTAAAAACAACTCTTTAAAAATATGGCCGGGCACATGGGCCCAGGCCTGTAATCCCGGTGCCTTGGAAGACCAAGTGGGGAGATGGCTTGAGGCCAGGAGTTCAAGACCAGCCTGGACAACATAGCGAGACTCCATCTCCACGAAATAGAAATAAGCCAGCCAGGCATGGTGGCTCACACCTGTTGGCCCAGCTAGTCTGGAGGCTAAGGCAACCCCGGAGTTGGAGGCTGCGTGAGGTATGATCGCACCACTGCTCTTCAGTCTAGGCAACAGAGTGAAGCTCTGTCGTTAAAAATAAAAACAAAATAGAAACATGGTAACTAAGCTTCCTAACTTATTCTGAGTCAATATAGACCATAAGGCTTGAGGTCTGGGACAACATGTGAGGCATGTGCTCAATGCCGAGGGACTCTCTTGGCGCTGGCGCACCTTACGCTCACTCCTTATTCCGCTCACGCGGCATCAATGCTTTGTGAATCCTCGTCTCAGTCAGGATGTAGGTGTGATGTCCCAAGTGCTGGTTTTACTGATGATCAGTGTTACTATGTAGGGTTTCGGTGAGTATTCCAGAAGAGAAAGACAACAGAGGTGGTTTCTGCCTGTTCAGAACTTTCTGAGGATGTCTTTGCCACCCTGGGCATAGGAATGGCAGGGCCCGGGTCAAGAACCTCACTCCCTGGGCAAAGCTTGTGGAATTCCAGGCTCAGAGAAGAGAGGCCAGGCCAGAGCCAGGAAGGTTCCGGAGATGAGGTCGGAGGGGAGTCGTGACCCCTCAGGGGACCTGGTGGTTTCAATGCTCTGCGTGTTCTTGGACCCGCTAACTTCACACCTGGAAATGTGTCTTCAGGAAATGGTCACAGTCACCTCCCCTTGTCCATGGTTTCACTTGCATGGTCTCAGTCACCCATGGTCCAAAAATACGTGATTATGATCATTAAGATACTTTGAGAGACAGAGAGACCACACTGACAAAACTATTTTTCTTTTGTTGAGTCAGAGTCTCCAGGCTGAGTGCAGTGATACACTCCCGGCCACTGCAGCCTTGACCTGCTGGGCTCAAGGGATCCTTCCACCTCAGCCTTCCAAGCAGCTGAAATTACAGGCACGCGCCACCACACCCAGCTAGTTTTTGATTTATTGTAGATATGAGGTCTCACCAAGTTGCCCGAGCTGGTCTTGAACCCTTGGGCTCAGGCAGTCCTCGCTCCTTGGCCTCCCAAAGTGCTGGGGTCATAAGTGTGAGCCACCGTGCCTGGCCGACAAAACTTTTACTGCAGTTCATCGTTATAGCTCTTCTATTTTGTCATTGATTCTTGATGTTCATCTCTTACTGTCCTCACGTATAGATGAAGCTGTACCCCAGGCATGCGTGTGTGGGAAAGCATGGTGTCTGCAGTTTCAGACATCACCGGGGGCCTGGAAAGGTCCTCCCACCGAGGATAAGGGGGGCCACTGTGCTGTGTGTGTGTCCACATTTGAGCCACAGGGTTGTCCGTCACAGTTGGTTGCACTGAAAAGCCACGAAGAGTCCATTGCCTAGTAGCAGTGGCTGGCGCACCCACGATGTCGTGTCTGCACGGTGGAACCCAAGCAGGCTGTAGTCACGTGGCAGCCCCTTCGAGCTTGCCTGTGCATCGGGACCCCGGAAGCCTTGTGGAAACACAGGCTGCCAGCCCCACCCGCAGAGCTTCTGATGCGGCCGATGTGGGAGAGGGTCCACGGATCTGCCTTTCTAGCAAGCCCCCCAGGGATACTCTCAGTCCACAGGCCACACTTTGAGAACCACGGATGCAGAGGTGTATTTACTGATGTGGAAGAACTCTCTCAGGGGGGCAAAGCTGTGGATGCGACACTCTCTGTGTGCCTACCTATGGAGGGTCAGGTAGAAAGAGCCCCTCGAGCTGTGTCCCGGGCATCTCTGGGGTGGCCACATCGCAGGAGGTCGTCATCTTCCAGATTCTGCGTGGCAGATTTTCCTGTAATGAGCAGAATGTTGACCACTAAAGCAGAAGACAGTTTCTTAATTGGACAGCAGGAGCTATGAGGTCCTGACCAATGGCACTTGTAAGCCCAAAATACCAAGTCTGTTTGCTACTAGTCCAGAAAGTTCTTCCCACACGCGTCGGTGTGTTCGGAGGCAGCCCCAGGCCGAGGGTGGTGACGGCCACAGGCACATCTGCTCCTGCGGGGATACACCCAGGGAGGGCCAAGGTGACACCCAGGGCTTCTCTGCGGCCCCCCTGCTGCGTTTCCGCCGTGCCCTGCAGGCCTCTTCTGGGGAAGTTTGGAGAACACTGGGTGGGGCCTGAAGGGCGACCTGCCAGGGCCAGAAGCATCTGGGTTGGCGGCTCTCTGTCTCCTGACGCAGGGTAGCTCGGTTTCCCAGGGTATCAGATGAAGGCGTCTCCTTTCTGGAAAAAAGATTTCGTGGTTTGAATTCCCGTTCACTTTTGTGCCCGTGGCACTCGCTGTCTCCTTCCCAGCACACAGCCCCAGGGGGCCCGACGTCCCTTCCCCACGATCTCCGCGTGCCAGCTGCAGTGTCATGCTCGCCGGGCACAGAGCCGCCGTTCAGCTCCGGCCCGGGCTCAGGAAGCCAAGAGTGAATCCCCGCAGACCTTGACAGGCTTCCTCCGGTCGTGCGGGTGCTGTCCAGTTCCCGGGCAGGGCTGGGTGGGGAGAGGAAGGGCCTGGCAAATGTCCTGCGCGGAAAAGGCAGGAACAGAGCGAACCAGCAGCATGCCAGTGCCGGGCAGGGAAGCGCCGGGAAAGGCAGAGGCGCCATGGAGGCTTCTCAGAGAGCTCCCACCTGGTGAGTGCCACTCCTCCTCCTCCCTGTCCACGCACCACGTGGCTGGTGACATAGGAGGTGGCCGCGTCACACGCGTCACTTAGAGCAGGAGTTCTCCGTGAACATCGAGCAGAGACGCCAGTGTCTCGACGTCACCCCGAGAGTCAGTCCCACACGAAGCCCACAATGGGGCCCATGTTTTCGTTAACGTTTCCAACACAAAACCACGTCCTCATCTAGGCGTTTGTTAAAAGGCGTTACTTCTACACTGACTCGCAGACATGGGACACATCGTGGGCTAGAAGATTTTCTTCTTTTAGAGACAAGGTCTCACCAAGTTGCCCAGGCTGTCTGCAGCCCCTGGGCTCAGGCAGTCCTCTTGCCTCTGCTTCCCAAAGGGCGGGGGTTGCAGGCATGAGTCGCCACGCCTGGCGGAAGCTTTTCTAAAAGGCTGCTTCCCACCGTCGTACATGTGGCTAAATGGGCAGGATGGGGTGTAAATTCAAGATGCAACTTTCTCTATTTTTTTTTCTTTTGGCCAGGGGTCTCACTCTGTGGTCCAAGCTGGAGTGCCGTGGCACCATCATGGCTTACCATAGCCTCGACCCCCTGGACTCAGGTGATCCTCCGGTCTCAGCCTCCTGAGTAACTGAGACTACAGGCACTCACCAGCACACCTGGCTAACCTTCTTTGCTTACTGTAGAGACAAAGTCTTACCATGTGGACCAGGCTGATCTCAAAGCCCTGGGCTCAGGCGGTCCTCCTGCCTCGGCCTCCCAAAGGGCTGGGATTACAGGCAAGAACCACTGTGCCCAGCCAAGACCCATTTCTGGCATGACATTTATATTTTCAGACAGCGCAGGTCAGCTCACGCCCCCTCTCGGCCTGCAACCTCCAGTGGCTTCCACCGCCCTCTGCGACCTCCCCTGCCGCCTTAAAGGGCTCCCCTCGCATTCTCCTCCTCCCCAGCCTCTCTCCCTCTGTTCCTGGTCTTGAGCCACACAAGCTTGAACGAGCCAAGCCTGGCTCGGCCTCGAGGCCTCCAGGCCTGCCGTTCCCTCGCTGGAGCGCCCTCCTGAGACCTCGGCCTGGCTGCATCGTCTGGAAAGGCGGTCGCTGCTGGCTGCGCAACAGAGGCTGCGTGTGTGTCCACCAGGGGCGCGTCTGCTCCTGAGAGCCACAGGGGGACACCGCCCCTGGCGCCCACAGCCTGGGGCCTCTTGTCTGACCACTCTCAGGCGGCACCGGGCGCCGCTCAAGCGGAGACTCCTCTGGGCAAGAAGTCGGGGTTTGCACGTAGTCCTGTCAACGCCTGGCTCCTTCTTTCTCCTCCCAGGTGATTTTCAAAGCTCTGTCCCCTCCCTACGACGCGGAGGACCCTTACAGCGCCAAGGCCCAGCAGCGGCTGAAGGTCACCAACCTCCGTGTGCAGCTGCTGAAGCGGCAGCCCTGTCCCTGTCAGAGACACGACCCGAGTGAGAAGCCACAGCACTTCACGCACTACGCCGTCTACGACTTCATCGTCAAGGGCAGCTGCTTCTGCAACGGCCACGCGGACCAGTGCGTGCCTGTCGATGGCTTCCGGCCAGTCAAGGCCCCGGGAGGGGTCCACGTGGTAGGTGACGCGAGTCTCCCCGGGCGCGCCGCGTGAGTGCCCTCTGCGTGGGCGTGGGGGGCTGGGCTCCCGAGAGCCGGCATCTGCCCAGCGCGGTGCTCCTAGTTCCCCCTGGCGGCCCCTCCTCCGACGCCAGACCCGTCCTGGGGGGGCCCCAGCCTGCCTTTACTCCTGGCTGTAGGGTCACAGTCAAGCGGGACAAGCAGAGCCCCGGGGAGGTGCCATGCCACTTTCTAGTTCCATGGCCTTCTGACGCAGGGCATGGGGCGAGCAGCTGGGTGAGGGTGACGCCAGCCCAGGACACCAGCTTGGACAGCCAACGGAGGCCACTGTGGTGTCGATGTGAAGAAGGGAAAAGGGCGGGGCTCAGGGTGACGCCGGGTGACCTTGCTGTCTCCACCATAGCCTGGACCACCGTTCCCCTCTGTGGGGACAGCCTGACACCCCTCCACCCCAAGGCGGACGTGAGCCTCTTCCTCCAGGACCACACCTCCCTGGGCTGTCCTCTGGACGGTTCCGTCTGCATCCCCCTGAGATCACGGACACCCTGAGGGCAGGAGCGGTGTGGCCTCTGCTCTCAGGACCCAGACTTGACCTGAGCCATACAGTGGGGACCCGCCAGGGGTTTGATGGACCAACAGCAATGTGGGAACGGGCGATGAACCGCGTGCGCCGTTGCCGTCTTCCAGAGAAGACACAGAGTGGCCTGGCCAGCAGGCACCTTGTGGGGACACACCGGAGCTGTGGGCAGGGACAGGCAAGGGGTCAGGCAGGCGGACAGCACCCCAGTTCTCTCATGTATTGACGTGTGTGTTCATTTTTGGTGGAGTCGAGGCCTCGCCATGTTCCCCAGGCTCGTCTCAAACTCCTGGGCTCAAGCGATCCTCCTGCCTCAGCCTCCCACAGTGCTGGGATCGCAGGCTAAGCTGCCGCGACAGGCCAGTCCATTAACGTACGCCTTGCTCTGTCGCTTCTGATCAAAGCAAGCCAAAGCAAATTCGCAGAGTGTCCTCATGCGCTAGCTGAAGGGTAGACTTCCACCTCCTGGCTTCTCTCTCCAGCCCGCGTACAGGCTGGGGCCGGAGGGGCCATGGTCCCGTTGCCGCCAGGACAGGCCGTGTTGACGGGGCTGAGTGGCCAGGGCCGCATGGGGTGAAAGGCATGGCTGTGAAGTGCCCAGAGGAAAGCAGAAACGGGAGCCGTGCTGTCGCTCCAGAAGCCCATCCCGGGTTCCCAGTGTGGAAGAGATGCCGCCCCCTTTCCGCAAATGCCTACTAGTTTTCAGGCGCTCGGAAGTGATATGGTATTGCTTTAGACAGAGCGTGGAGTGATTCCAAGGACCACACCTCACTGGGTTCGGGCATGATTCAGACAGAAACTAAGCCACGTACTCTGGAGACATGCCAGCCTCAGCCTGTGAGCTGGAAGGTGGTGTGCGCGGCCGGGGTCGGTGTCCACCATGGCGCCTGGGTGAGTTGGTAGAGGAGCTCACCAGGCCTTTGTGTCCTCCCTGCCGCCCCTAACCCGAGGTCCAGCTCAGAGCACAGTCCTGAGCAAGCGGGCGGACCCGGCCCGGGGGCCCCACCGCGCAGGGTGCGTGGGTCCCAGGCAGACACCGAGGCAGGAAGGGCCCCGAGACGCCCCACACTGAACCGCCCACGTTCTCAGAGATTCCAGAAACTTCCAGAGTGTGCATTCAAAAGCCGTCGTTCCTTTTTTCTTTTCTTCTCTTCTTTTTTCTTTTTTTGTAGAGACAAGGTCTTGCTGCGTTTCCTAGGCTAGTCTTGAACTCCTGAGCTCAAGCAATCTTCCCACCTCAGCCTCCCAAAGTGCTGAGATTATAGGTGTGAGCCACCACACCCAGCCTCTTCTTTTCTTTAAGTAAGTCCTCTGAATGTTAACTTTCAAAGAGTTAACAACATTTTCTAAGGCTTCGGGGAAAAATTCTAGAGATTTCGTTTCATTCTGCTAAATTCTACAAGGGATAATAACTTGGTCCACAGAGACTTCTGCAGAAGCCTTAAACCTCGACAATCCTATGTAATATTTTGCCAGTGAGAAAATCACCAGCCTGTGAAGAGGCCGTGGGCAGCCAGGCCGAAGGGGTGGAGTGTAAGCAGATTTCATTTCAGAAGGACGTTGGGATAAGTGGCCTGTAGCCTGGAGACCCATGGCATGGAAACTTCAGTTTCCTTTCTCATCGTAGGCCGCTATGAAATTGGAAGCAATTTCCTTGAAAAATAGTACTCACTTTCCTTCTGCCTCGTTCTCATCCTGATGTCAATGTCTGCCCCGCGGTGGTGGCCACCCCAGTGCTGGAACTCAGTGTGGCACAAATCAGCCCTGGGGCTGGGGCCAGGGCACAGTGGGAAATAGCCCAAGTGGCCAAGACCGCGCTGGCTTCCAGGGATCCAGTGCCATGGGGATTCTTGCTGTCTCTACTCTTTAAAAAATGATAATTAAAAAAAGACCAGGCGCGGTACCTCAGGCCTAGCACTTTGGGACACTGAGGTGGGAACTTTGCTTGAGCCCAGGAGTTTGAGACCAGTCTGGGCAACATAGTGAGACGTCATCTCTACAAAAAAATTTTAAAAATTAACCAGGTGTAGTGGCGTGTGCCCTACTTGGGAGGCTGAGGATCGCCTGAGCCCAGGAGGTCGAGGTTGTGGTAAGCCACGATCATGCCACTGTACTCCAGCCTGGGTGAGAGAGTAAGACCCCAGATCAAAAAAAGAAAAAAAAGTCACAAGCAATTGGGCCCACAGAGGTGGTAGTTGGAAATGTGCGTGATTCTGGTTTCAGATTTATTCTACCCCTAAGCTCAGGGGCCTTTTATGTTTATCTACAGTTTCTTTCTGGATTTTAAAGAGCTGACATTAAATTTGGAGACGACTGCCTCTTTTGAAGGTGACATGCCTGTTCCGATGGCAGGTCCGCTGAGCAAACTGCACACTGGAAGCGTGGTGTTTGCCTCTTTGGGAGCACAGCCGTAAAGGCATCGTCCTCACACGGTACGTCTGTGGACACCACTCCGTGCACGTGGCTGGAGCTCACCCGATTCGTCAGCTGGGCCTGCGGAGTCTTAGGGAGCCGCTCAGGAAACGCTGCTCTCCCAGGGCGGCCTGCCGTGGGCACATGACCCAAATCTAACATTTTTAGCACGACTTTTTTTTAGAGCAGTGTCTCTCACAGTGTGGTCCCTGAACCGGCTGCAGCGGTGTCTCATGAGAAATGCCCATTCTCAGGCCTCGCCCTGGACCCGCTGAATCAGCAGCCCTGGAGGTGGGACCTGGGAATCTGCACTGACCAGCCCTCCAGGTAACTCGCATTGTCACCACGATGAGGAATGCAGTGACACGGAATCTGGTTTTATGGGCTAGGAGATTTGACAGCTGGTGATGGTGACTTAGGGAGGTTAATAAAAATGATACCTAGTCCTTTTCCTTCTTTCTTTCTTTCTTTTCTTGGGGGGGGGTTGGAGTCCTACCCTGTCACCCAGGCTGGAGTGCGGTGGCACGGTCACAGCTCACCGCAGCCTCGACCTCCCTGGCTCAAGCTATCCTGTTTCCTGTGCCTCCTGAGTAGCCAGGGCTACAGATGTACACCACTACACCTGGCTAATTTTTAAATTTTTTTTTGTAGAAACAAGATCTCACTGTGTTGCCCAGGCTGGTCTTGAACTCCTGGGCTCAGGCCATCCTCCCGCCTCGGCCTCCCAAAGAGCTAGGATCACAGGCAGGAGCCACCGCACATGGCCGGGTTATAAATACAAATAGCAACCGTGACACTTCCTGAATGCTTCCTGTGTGCCTGTCTTGTGCTGTCACACTACAGATGTCATTGAATGTCGCCTGCACCACTGTGGGCGGGGTCATCCTCATTCTCTCACGCAGACGAGCGGGGCCGAGGCTTGGAGGTGCGTTGACCGGCTTCCCCAGAGCCGCTGAAGGGTCGAGCCGCACTCCGACCCACCTGTCAGACACGGGAGCCCACTCTCGGATGCTGCCGTGCTGGGAGGCTGGGTCCACCCGGGCTGGCGGTGCCGAGGCTGGGGGGGCGGGGCAGGGGTCAACTCGCGGGATCCTGCGGCGGGCTGGGCCTTGGGGTGTGAACTCAGGCGGCGAGTGGGGACTCGGGGCAGGGACGAGCTCAGAGCCAATGGCCGGCTTTCTTGGGTCTGTAAAGACCTTTCCTGTGCTGTTTTCGCAAAGCCCGTACTTTCTCTTGATTTCTGTTCTGCAGATAGAGGAACCAGAGGTGCAGCGAGTTTGGGTGTGTTTGCTGGGGGTCAAATTATAGAGCAATTGCCCTCGGGTTCTTACTACTGTACCCCTCTTCCATCCCTAATTTTTTTGATTGATTGTTTGTTTTAGAGACAAGGCCTCACTGTGTTGCCCAGTCTGGTCTCAAACTCCTGGTCTCAAGCCTGGGCCTCTTGAGTAGCTGGGATTACAGGTGTGGTCCACCTCCAATTTAACAAGAGAAAACTCTTATTCAAAAGATTGTTCTTGGCTGGGTGCAGTGGCTCAAGCCTGTAAGGCCAGCACTTTGGGAGGCTGAGGAGGGAGGACTGCTTAAGCCCAGAAGTTCAAGACCAGCCTGGGCAGCATAGCAAGATATTGTCTCTATGAAAGAAAGAAGGGAGGGAAGGAAGGAGGGAGGGAGGGAGGAGGAAAAATTGTTATTACAGGGATAGGTAGAGACATAACCAGGAATGAGCATTATTTCCTTTCTCTTCCGCTCAACAACTAGTGAAATGGTCCAAAGGAAGAAAAAAAATTAAAGCGACTCTGGGTCTCCCACCAAGTCCATAATTCAGAAGTGACTGTCTGGGAGGGGCGCATCTTTGGCTTCACCAGGAAGAGGGGTCTCCGGGCCTGCCGTCCCCTGATCGCGTCTGGCCCTAAGTCCTCTTGCTGCTGATGACGGGCAGCGGCAAGCCCAGTCATTTTTGTCACTCGCGGACCTGGGGGGATGGGTCGCCCTGCCACCAAAGCGGT